ATGCGAATCAACAAATGAGATGACACGGCCTTTCACTTATGACCCATCTCGAAAGGGTTAAGATGAAGGAAGAAACAGGAAAACATAATGGTCACTGATTCAACAAAAGTTGGTCTCTTAGGCAGGAAGGTAACAATTTAGACAACAACAAATGAAAAAATGTAATCCATTGAAGACTGAGTAGGCCATCTGCCTTAGAGATTTGTATGCTACTAGTCTTTAGACAACTTCCACGTAAACTCACAATATTTCTTGTGATTTACGCCATTGCACAAGATGTTATTATGCAGTAAAAGCCTTCCACCAAAAGGAGGGTGACACAACTTCCCTGCATACTAGCTTCCTCAATGCTTTTGCACTTGTGATCTTCATTCTTTGATTAAGCAAGGAATACTAAGTTGCCTCAGAAGTGGGGAAGAAAGGTGGGAAGTGTGTGCAGAGTATCTATCAAAAACATATTTCTAGTTAAAGTAAATGTTAACTTCTGAGATGATACACACCTCTTCACACAGAAATCTAGAATCCCACATTGATATGGTAGAAGAACCAATGCAAAATTTACCTAGATGAGCTCCTTTCAGAAAGTGCCAAAAAAAAAAACCCATGGAGTGTGAGTCTTGATGGCAGGGGCTCTATAGGTGCACACTCATAGGAGACTGCATCTCATCTCCTCCAAGGCGCAATCCTAGCCCAGATTAGAAGAGAGGAAGAGACAAACAAGCCCTATGTCTTATGGGTATGGGCAGAATAAGAACATGGTTGCCTGAGTACCTGCACACAAGAGGTCAGAGAGCAAATATGTGTATTGTGGTTGGGGTGCATTCAAGCCATATCTAGTGTAAATCTCAACTCCACCATCAGATTTACTGAACCAAAATCGGCTGTGGGAGGAGGCCACCTAGATTAATAGTGCATGTTTGGCTCAACACTACCATCACTCTTGGACCAACACCAGTTGTGAGAGGAGAACACAGAAATTTATGTCATAAATAATGTAATATGAAACACATAGTGAGTGTTCATCTCAACTCTAATGAACAGTGGCAAGCTGCAGGAGGAGGGCATAGTCTTGTGATATATTCACCTCAACTCTACCAAATAGATGCAGACTGCAGGAGGAGGGCATAGTAAATCAGTAAGTGCTTCCAGAATGTTGTTGGTGTAAAGATATGTCACCACTGCCCAACTTACCACTGTTTGGCACCCTTTGTTTTAGACCCATGTCCAAATCAGTGAGGGTTCTCCATGGTCTACCATCTCAATGGCTAGTAACTGGTAAGTGGTAAGTCTCATTTTTCCACTCAAGGAAAAATGGGGAGGAATTTGCAGTGAGGAGACCTAGAAAAAATGCCTCGAAAGGGGCCTGGGTAAGAGCATGAAGGTTGACATTAAGATCCCAATTGGGCATGAGAACAGATCACAGAGGTTTATGGAGAAGGAATGATCACAACAATATGGATAGAACTGGGAAAGAAACCACCTTGCAATATTGGGAAAGACAAAAGGTGATAGACAAGCCAGCTCTATAACCTGAAACAGTAGAGGCAGCCAACCCTTTGGCAAAAGCCAGGTAAAAAAAGAATGAGAGATGGCCAACAGTAGAATGGTCAGGACGAAGATGGTGACAGATGACCCAATGACAAAAAATATGCCAATTATGCTGGTAGATAGCCAGGGCAGATGGATGAAAAGGATGAGAACAGAAAAAGGTTACCCTTCAGGAAGGTCTGGCTAAATGGGCATTGGAACAGACAAATCCCAAACATGAAGGTGGAGGGACATGATCCCTGGATGGAATAGCGACATGTGAGGTTGAAGCAAGAGAGAAGGTGTGGAAGGAAGGGGAAGAGGGGTACAGGATGACAGTAGACAAAGAGGAGGGAGCAAAGGTTGAGCTGGCCAAAGAGGTGTCACCAAGAGGACACAAGAAGTGTCAAAATCAATGCCAGGACCCTTGGTAAAAGTCAGAGAGGTAGGTAAGCATACAGGAAAAGATGAAACCAGTTCTGACATTGATGTGAAGTGAAGATTCATTATGGGTCCACGTGGCTGATGCAAGATTATCATTCAGAGATGCATCCCATCCCAATAGGGAAGAATTGGTGAAGAGGTGTAAGTCAGGTTTTGGTGGAGGTAGCAATACACTGATAGTAGCATTGAAGTGTTCCAGCCATCAAGAAAAGTTTGTGAGGAGATGAGGGGACAAGAGAACCATTAAGTCCAAAGGTTCCCAAGAATGGTTCCACTGGTTGTGCAAGGACCATTGGAGAATGAGCATGACCAAATGAAATAAGCAGTTCCAGAGAAGCCATGAGCCCCAAAAGCAAAAGAACCTCACAAGTAGATGAATGAGGTATTGGGTGGGGATAAGAAAGGATTTAGAACTATTGACAAGCCACCCTAAATGGGTGGCTTTCTACAGAAGTAGAGAGGTGTGAAGGTAAGACTCCTTCTGCAAATGAGACAGAAGAAGCTAATCATCTATTTAAGAATGGAATCATAGACTAAGTTTATGCAGATGGCGTGTGAAGGCCCTGATCACTCTGTTGAAGATGTAGGGGGCTGATGCAATGCCAAACAAAAGAGCCCTGAACTAGAAGATATAATCCCAATGAATAAATTGAAGGAAACATCTCAAAGACTCTGTAATGGGAATATGAAGGAACAGATCCAAGACATTGATCTTGTTCATCCATGGTCTGGGTGAAAAGAAATTTTCCATATGAAAATGAAGGAACCATGTAACAATTCAGAGAGAAAAGATCGATGACCACCCGCCAATCTCTAGTCTTCTTGGGGACTACTAAGAGGTGAGAGTAAAACCCCAGCAAAGGGTCATGCACCCTCTCTATGATCTACTTGAGTAATAGATCCAACATCACAGCTTCCAGACTTTGAAGATAGATGGGATTTGGGGAGGAGGGAAGGGAACTGGTGTGAGCTAAGAGGGGAAGAGAACTGGAGGGAGAGACTGTGAGTGAGAACAAGTGTAATCTATCTGTCTACAGATAGTTGTTCCCAAAGATGTGCATACTGCAGCAGAGGAGTCACCATGAGATCTGAATCCACTCTGTAGTCACCAATAAACCCGGCAAGATTGATGTTGGTCCAAAGACTGTTGAGCAGAAGGAGAAGGATGGGAAGAGGGAAAGGAAATATGGGAAGTGAGAGGACAAGGATGAGACACAGAAGTGGAATGGGGGGAGGATAGGCAAGAAACCAATGAAGTGAGTGAGGATTGATGCTTCTGTCTGTGATTCAGTTAAATCAGAAATACCTCCAAAATTGGAAGGGTGAGGCAAAGGTCCTGTAAAATGGAGATGAACATGGGAAAGAAGGGTGTTTCTACTTAACAAATCTCAACAACAGATGATCCAAGTGAGCAGGGAATGGGCAAAAGTAGTAGTACAGACCATGGTAGAAAGGAAAATGGAATTGCCAACAAAATCATCTGGGGCTTGGTGAAGTGCCTCTGACATGAGGTGCAGAGAGAAAAGGTAATGACACACAGAAAGAAGGATTAGGCAAAGACAAAAGAATTGAGCAATGGAGAGTGAAACTGACCCCAGTGGGTCTGTGACTCCAGAAAGGGGAAGTTCAAATGACTGTAGACCATGATTAACCCGATATTTGCAGGGGCCATTTTGTCTTATTGTGAGGGCAAAATCATTTGTGAATTGAAAAAATGATAGAGAACTTATCTTTTAATTGATTTCTGATTTTATTTTTGTAAATAGTAGAATAACATTCAATTATTTGTTCAAAATTGTATTCTTTAATGAAGTTTAAAGAGGAATTTAATGGAAAATTCCTAAAATACGTTTTAGACTGTAAATAAGCGCCCTCTAAGAAGAAATGTTTTTTCAAAAATTTTTTTAAGATATTTCCTTTCACTTCAGCACTGGTCCTGCCATCTATGATTGGTATTTAAACCTTTTTCTAGTCTGTTTTCTTTATAAAAATGTGTCTGGGCGTGTTAAACCTCAAATTCGATGACGAGGAACCCACTTTGTACAACGTTTCGACAAGGTTTTGTCATCACCTGATGACGACAAAACCTTGTCGAAACGTTGTACATTTGCTGTTATGTTAAACTTATATTAAAGTTTTTCTTCATTACCCATTCAAGCCGTCTCCAGCCATTATTAGTGTTAAACCTCAGTTTAACCAATCCTAGTCAAAAGTGTCAATTTCACTACCAATTATTCTAATTGCTGTATCTCCCATTTTGTACATTTGCTGTTATGTTAAACTTATATTAAAGTTTTTCTTCATTACCCATTCAAGCCGTCTCCAGCCATTATTAGTGTTAAACCTCAGTTTAGCCAATCCTAGTCGAAAGTGTCAATTTCAGTACCAATTATTCCAATTGCTGTATCTCCCATTTGACAAATCATAGGATAAGG